GAACCTAGGGCCTATACTGAAACCCTTTGCTCAGCCTTGGTGTAGAGAGGAGGTGACTGGACCTGCCTTGACTGAAACTACCAGGCTGAGATGAATCCCCACGGGAGTCCTTGCCCTGGAGGAGATGGGAATCGGGGGGAATTGGGGGGAGGTGTGGGGAGTGGGAAGCGGGAGGACCAGGGAATCTGTAGCTAATGTTTAAAATTAAATTAATTATAAAATTAAAAAAAATAACGTGCTTCTCTCACTAAAGTGCTAAAAAAATATGTTTTGCAAGCTCTACTGACTCTGATTTCTGCCCCCAGCATTTAACAGATCCTCTTAATTCTGATTGATTCAATGGACAAATTTTTACAACTCCCAAACATATTCTGTTACAATAGTTTATTTTTAAAAAATCCCCCCCACTTTAAATGGGGCAGTTCACTTCCACTCAAACAAGCAAACCTTCCAAATAAGAATAGCAAGATAGAGAAAAATATATAAATAGGTGGACTCAATATATACTACATGAGTTCTAATAAGACACCAAAATCATATATGTGCTTCTATTAAAATACACCAATGGGCACAGTTGGCATTTATTTGTTGTTAGATTAGCCAGATAAGGATTAGAATTCTGAGATTGGAACAGGCAAACACAACTCTATATTTAGGATCAAACATGATGACTTCTACCTTCCCTCTCCATCTTCTTTGCCTTTAGGATCTGAAAGTGGCTAATAAATAAAGAATAGCTAGCTGGTGAGTCTTTCCAAACGGTAAAAGGACAGGATCTACACACAATGATTGGTAACAGTCATGAAGAGAAATGTAATTTTTCAGCCAAATGAAGTGATTCTCTGCTCTAAAGCATCATTTTCAGCATTTTTGGTAAGTTCAGCATCTGATTCCTCTGTTCCCAGCAAGAGATGTTCACCTGAAAGAGATGTGCAGCTTTGCTCATATAAATGTTAGCTCATTACTGCCACCAAATATATGTAAACAAATGAACAAAGTCCCACTTATGAAGGAAGTGATTTTATAAGACATGCCTTGAGACAGCACCCATCTCCATGGTGCATCCCAACTCATCTTTCTCTAGGTAGAAGAAACTGACATGCAGAGAGGCTAAACTGCCAAAGACATAACCAAGAATCTCTTGGGTGTGACTGCTGTCCTGCCCTTGTTTTGCACTCTGTGCCTGTTTCATGTCCTAGGAGGAGAAGGAAAAAAATCAAAGTGACTTTTCACATCTGATAATGTCTAGTTACTTTGGAAGGATGAAATTTGTCAAAGATCTGTTTACAGAAACCTTAATGAAGAGGCACACACATTAGAGGAAAATTGAGAAGTTCTCACAGGGATGTTTGTACATCAGGCCTGGAGTTAATCTCCAACCTAAGGTAACTAGTGGACACATTTCCAGTCATTACTTATACCCTGCATACCTGGAATTTAAGGTGCTACTTTTCTCTCAGCTTTAAGGAGCTTCTTCTGACCTTCAAGGAAGGACATAGCATAAAATTGAAATTCATAGTCAAGGCAGTGAATTCAGATCCAATTCCCAATATCTGAAAATGTTAATGGTCAGGAAATTCAAAGAAAAATTCATTCATTGAAGTGAAGCTTGTTGCATATAACACTTTAGAATAATTTAGCATAGTACTTGATATGGCAAGACAATATCAGGGGACATTTGTTGACAGGGTGAAGTGGTTTGTGAGTCTATGGGTGTCTCTGTGTCTTTGTAAAACTCTGACAGGTAAACACAGGTTGGGTTCGGGAGGAAGTGGAATCTCTTCTGAGACAGATATGGTGCTGTTGAGCATTTCATGAAATGCATATCTCACTGAATTGTGAAAAGCCCTCTGTCAAAGAGTGAATTCTTAACATCTTTATTACACTGAGTTATCAAGCACAGCAACTTAGAATATGAAAAATATATCATAG